TTTCTGTCCTTCACCACAACATGTTTCTCATTTGTACGAAGGCTGTTCTAGCGCTGTCAATACGATTACGGATTTCGCGTGTAGCCTGACCTTTGGGGAGTATAGTGGATCTAACATACTTGAACTCAGAAACAGATTCGATGATTTATCCAAATAAGGAGTGCGACGGGGCAGACTGGGTGGTTAACTATGAGAAGTATTTCCTCTTGCTGCCGTTAATTTCGAGGCCGATCAGAGAGGTTGTTTGGTCGACCCGATTTAGCAGTGAGTGTAGTGATATAGCATCTTCCGCAAGGATAGCGATATCGTCAGCAAATTCTAGATCGGACAACCAGAAGTCAGGGCTGGCTTGAACATCACAATAGCCCACAAGGGCATGATGCCTAACCCAGTCGACTGCGAAGTTGAACATCACTGGAGAAAGTAGGCGACCCTGTCGAACTCCAGTATTTATGTTGAATTCCTCTGTTTCTTCTCAATGGACCCGAATCCGGGCCTTCGTGCAACGGTAGTATGATCTGATCAAGTTAGCTACTTTATCCGCACGCTATCGGCAAATAGGATTTTCCAGAGTGCTACGCGGCAATTGAATCAAAGGTAGCTCGAAAATCAACTAGACACACAAAGGTGGGCTGCTGGAACTGGTAGCGGTGTTCGAGTACTCGACGTAGAGTGAAGATTTGGTCAGTGCAGCCTCTGCCTGGACGAAAACCCCCTTGGTTATGTCGAGTTCGCAGATTCCTCTCATTGGCAAAGCGGGAAAGCAAGATTCGTGCGAAGGTTTTGGCAGCTACATCGATTAGACTAATCCCACGATAATTACTGTACACAGTTCGGTCACCTTTCTTGGGAAATGGCAGTAATACTGAGGTCCTCCACGAGGAAGGACTGATTTCGGTCTCCCATTTCAAGCTGAAGAGCTCGTGCAAATGGTCAAGGAGAGCTGATAGGCAAGGTTTGTAGAGTTCCACTGGAATCCCTTCCGCTCCAGCAGCTTTCTTCGGCTTCAAGCGACGAACAATGTCTGCAATTTCTGTGGGAGATGGCGGTGAGCAATCGGCGGCATATCCTGGCTGGGTTAATGCTGATATGGGTGCAGTGGTATGTAGTGGGCTGTTTAGAAGGTTGCTAAAATACTCTACTCATCTGGAAAGCTTTCCTTCCGTATCGGGGATGATTTGGCTTTCCGAATTGCTCAATTTCGACTGTACCTAATGGTGCTTGCCGGAAGCTAAACGGGCGTGACGAAAGAGATGATCCAAATCGCCAGAAACTGATGCAGCTTTCATGTTACCTGCGATATCAGACCAGTAGCGGTTGCGATCATTCCGTGCTGAGCTCGTTGCCTCACGTCTCAAGCGACGGTAGTCTGGGGAATTCGTGAGACCTGCTTCTCTTGCTTTAGCGGACAACCGCATAGGACCTTCAGGGATCCAGTCCTCCACAGGCTTAGAGCTAGAGCCCAGCGTAGATAAGGCGGCGGGTTGAACTGACGATTTTAGCCTAGACCAACGAGTGTCTACCGATTCATCTTCTGCAATTACGTGGCGTGGTGCACTGGCAGAAATTTCCACTTCTATTGCTGCCTCAATGGATTGGCAGCAGTCAGTATTTTCCAGTGGGACAGTGTTGATACGCTTCGGTGGAAGGGTCTTTCTGCGCGCTGTCAAGGGGAATCTGAATTTGGCGCGCGCGAGTACGTGGTCCGAACTACCTTTTTTGCCTGTTTAAGCCCCTCTGTACGCTCGACGGTCAGTAATGGAGGACATCCAGTTAGATCGGATCAGGATGTAAGCTGTCTGGCTTGCTGTACGACCATCGTTGGAGTACCACGTCAGATGTTTCCTATGATGCTGGAAACGAGGATCGGTTGCGCACAACCGGTTAAGTCAGTGAAGCTGAGCAAGCAGTCTCCATTATCACAGCTCTCTCCAAGGGCGTATCTCCCGAGTAGGTGGCGAGTTTGATCGTTCTTAGGAGCGGTTCGTGCATTTCAGTCCCCAGCCCTAATGTGGATGTCGCGTTTTGGAACATGGTTCACCAGTGTCTGTAATCGTACAATTCGTCTTTGTCACTTTCCTCTGAGAGTACGGTTGGTGCGTAGACAGAGATTATGGTCAGATTCGTAGGGTGACTGAAGCGTGAAACTGCTATTCTAACTGATACTGGCTTCCATGAAAGAAGAGCGTAGTGTGCCTGGCAACTGAGATCCATGGCGACCCCTTGATTGTTAGAATTATCTTCCGGCCCACTGGGTAAAGCCAATATGAGGTGTCTACACCAGGGACCTTGATTTGTCGAAAGCCATATCCGGGTATTCGAAATTCTGATAGACATGCTATGTCGATGTCATTTAGTGTGCGCATCGTCAGCGCCTTAATGCCGACATCCTATGAATAGTGGCTTCCGGGGAATGAGGGATCCAGCTAGCCTGTTTGTCACTCTGGCCACTGGGCTACTACAGAGCACTTCGCCTACCGGGTACGCCGTAGCATGAGAAGAATTGCGGGTAACAGACATGTCATGAAGTTTCGTGGGGATGATGGATTCGTATGAGGACCCTAACTTCAACTCTAGCCTTCAGCTCTAGCCTTTGCACAGCTAAATGCTACCTACAAGGCAGCAGGGATCTGGGAAATTGTCTTAACTTCAGGCCGTTGGACCAAGGGTCGATCTCTTCCGCCTAGTTGTCAGGACTGACGTCGCACACGAGTACGAAGTCACTGGGAATAGTATAGCCGGCTACCCTCACCTGGCTTAGCCCGCCTGCCTGACGGTTGACCGGGATGTGGCCGCTGCCGCCGGCAAGCAGCTTCTTGGAGCCACAGGTGAGAGCTTGGTGACAGGTGGAGACCAAGGATAGATGGACTACCCCGGAGGGTAAGGCAGGTCCCCTATCAGAAGAGCTACTGCTCCCGGTGTTGCACTAGAGTTAGATGTTGGACATCTAGTTAGCGGTACTGATTGGTCTGCGTTCATTGGGACAGCTGTTACAAGGATAGCTAGCTTCATAGTCCTAGCCAGTCTCTCGCACTTCTGCGTCAACACAGTTACACATCTGACGGGTGGAATAACCATACACACTGTTCCGAACTACAAGGAAGCGATTGCATTATTTCATTGCTTTACCTCACTCAGCACAATTGGTATGAAGTTTTTCCTACAACTACATTGTGCCATTCCAATTCGCTCGCGATTAGGACAGCTTTCTACACAGCAATTAACGTTTACTTGTGATGCTTTATGTTTACCTTTCTTTGGACAGGCGGTGCGTGCCATAGTGAGCACCAATTCAATTACATTAATGTTAGTGTTATTTTCTGCAAGGTCTTTCACAGCAGGCTGATCCGGGCCGGTGATGGGGCCCACACATGTCTAAACACATGCGCGAACGGTTTTGGACGTCGACAGCGTGGTTCACTTGGCTCTGGTGGGACAGTGAGGTGTCCTTTCTAGGAGTTCGTCTAATGTGCTGTCAAAATGCAGTCGTGTGTCCGTGCGGCTGATCACACGATGGTTTGGTGGACGGCCTTTTGTAGCCTGGTTTATGGATCAACCTGGTCCGGGAGTTAGATGACAAGGCGGACTTTCCGAGAGGTTGAGTGGGGTTCGTTGAGAGGAAACGTAAATTACTATGCAACTGACTCACACAGTAGTGAACTGGAGAAAGTACTTGTGCTAAAGCCGTTAGAATGTTCCATCAAGTGAAGCCAAAATGGTTTCGAGTTTTGGAGTGACGCAAATTTGTACATGTGGGCGTCGGTGAAAGATTGCCCAAAACCTACTATTCAGAGTAAGGGTAAGATGTACCGGTACTCTTCTCAGGAGAATAGTGCCACGAGGTGGCGCTTGTTAATCCAAGGCGAATACATGTTGATCCAGTGACATGCGAAAACATGCGTCGTAATAGATGTAAAAAAACGAAGAGTAAAACTGTGCTTCCAGCACAGCGTGTTGCAGGGCCAGTCATTTTACACCCAAATATGTAGGACGAGCTTGGAGCGAACTTGGAGCCTCTTCGGTTTCAGTGGCTTCAGTGACTTCGTATCGAGTCAACTGAATTCCTTAATCTCAGCAAATATGCTAGGTGATTGTTTTAAATGTCCAAAGTCGAAAGCGTACTTACCTAACCATACGACAGAAAACATCTACTTTAGTGAAGCTGCCATGGTCGAAAGCGGTTGCTAGCCCATGTAGGCTGAGTACAGTACTCTGAAAGCAAGGCTGGTTAGGTTAAACGACAATTTAGTAGTGTATGGACACAGCCGTACTTCTACTGGGTATCACGATGTTCCACACTATGTTGACTGGAGACCCAAAATCAAACGCTTGCTATCTACGCGGACTCATCGCCCGTCAGTTTAACACTAGGGAATTTCTTCGAAGCCACTACAAATCTGGGAACGCTGCTGTAAACCGTTTCGTCCTATAATGGGACGTCAGGATCTTGTGTCTCCTTGAAATTCTGCTTCATTCGACTCCACTGTCACTTTAGGTGCGATGACTAGGCTGTAGTTAGTGGTGGCGGGTCACCTGATCTGTCGCGACTGACAACCGGATTGGATACATCCCACCAAGTTGCTTCTTAATTCAGTGCGCTAATCTACCCGGTGATTGACAAGATCGGATTTAACGCTAACGCGTAACTAGTGGCTTGCTAAGGGAGGTCACAGTCCTGGGGATTAACCCTGCCCTCTGTAAACCGGTAACAATTAGGACTGTGGGAAGAGTGAACCGGACAATAGTATAGCCAATAATCCTTCATTGCGGTTAACCGCCGTCATGCACAGACTATCCTTCGAAATAGCTGCAGGTAGACAACCCGTTACTCGACATGTGTATCTCACCATGTAAATATCATATCCAAACCTCGTCCTCAAATATTCGTGCAGGAAACAAGTCTTAACAGAAGATTTGGTTAGTGTTGATGCTTCCTGAAGTGAGTTAAATAATGTGGACCACTCATGTTTTACCATTTCTCTGCACAATTTGATATACAGGGAAGAGAAGCAGCGACGCCGGAAACAGTACGAGGAGGCTCGCCTTTTGGCAGAAGAAACGACAAGAAAAATCGCCGCAAGAGCATTTACGAAAGCGTACTTATCGCCGCTGATGAAGAGCACTTATCAACAGCTGTTAGAACGAGGGTACTTTTATGATTCCGTGGAACAAGGTATGTCTGTAGCAAAGCACAAGAATGAAGTTATAGTCATGAGTGACTGTAAATGTCAAAGTTGATAAGCAGTTTGGATTTACATGAAATTGCTCGAGTAGGCAAAGCATTATCAGCGAGGTGGGAAACGGCGTTAACTATGGCAGCGAGAAATAAATTAGAGGCAATTGAGCCATTGTAAGCTGACATAATCCAGGCGCTGAATGAGAAGACGTATTGCTGGAATTAGGCGAGCGAATTTGGGATGACCATGGCATTCTGAATGGCAAATTTTGGTGAAGGTTTTGTGTACGTACATAGCCACACCCGCCATCGCATTGGCGAATTTGTAGTGTCAAAAGGTTTTTCAGTACTTCCGTCAAATTCATCCCTTCAGTTGGGCAAATATGCAAGTTGCACACTGATGCCTCATCTTAGATTAAGGCTGACGAGCTTTAGAAGCACTTGGCAAATCCACCGTCTCGGGTTTGGTTCAAGGACCACAGCCACTTGTGCATCCTGCAACATAAGAACTATTCAGCTATACCGTTTTTCAATTGATTGCACACTCAAGACACCCACTTTCATCCGCAAGGCAGCAGCTTACCTCCGTACCGCAGCAAATATAATCCGAAAAGCATCGAATTCGCGTTGAGAAACGTCTTAAGTGCTCAACTGCTAGCAGCCAATAACATTTGGAAATACGGATATGCCAGCATGGCTGTTAACCTAGACCGACATGCAGCACAGAACAATCGCGGTCTAGAACGAGGTAGCACAAATTTTGTACACAAAAGCTGGCCAACGCAAGGTAGGAGACAGTCACATGGTCAAAATCAACCGGCCGGTAGTTGAGTCCTCGCTACACGGACCTCAGACAGCCGCGCAATGTGTCTGCGCGCCATCATTGGACACTGCGATGTGTAAAAGCAGGTGCTGATTCACGAATGCTTTCAAACCACAAAGCCTGGGCAGTAGAGGCAAAGTGAAACCAGCACAGTTCCGGAGTCAAGATGAAAGCGGACACAGCAGTGATCATGTTCGGAGCACAGGGTCAAGCTTGAAGTGCGTAGGGGGCGTGATCAAGCCCGTTGTGAATGAAGTCAAAACGGTTTCACAACGATGACTTGAGCGAGCAAACGCAATGTCCTTTTTAGGTGAGGGGGCAGGTGAGACACGGAGGACCGAAGTGAACAAGATGGAGTTGGAAATCCAAAATACACTCTCCAAGGAACAGGTCGGTTAACTCATCTTGATGTTACCGGATTCTATCTCTCTTTTGCTCTCAGAGGTGCAATGCAAGCTCCTGTTTAATCTCGTAGTCGTTATCAATGAAGGAAGAAAGGGGACGATATCCAGCGCAGCGGGATGCCTACAATGCGTTCAACCTAACCTTTTACTTCAATCGGTTAAATAGCACATTAGTGACGGTTCCTCAGGTATACGGGAGGTGAAATTTAATCATATTCCAATCATTTGTCTTCCTTGTGAATCACACAAATCAATCCTGGTGGTCTGCATCATTTCGCTTATGACCTCTGCTGTGTAGCCAAATCCAGCCACCACGCCAGGCCTTAATACCCCGCCCGCATTGCGTCCACGGACGTTCTCATCTGCGTCCACGGGACACGGCCTATCTTACCTGTAAGGGCAGATGCTGATGGTTGTTGCTAGTGTCCGTTCACGTGTGCATGTAGACACCAGCTCTTTGCGTCACTCGCTTCATCCAAGCCGTGAATCAATTGGATGACCCCGTTGTCGACCACAGGTGCTCAGTTCAAGAATAGACTCACATACTCCGAGCACGTTTGGCTTGTGTCTGCGGAATACGACGCTCGCAAGCATGAACGATCCCAGAACCTCACTAACTTCAACAACAATGTCACCCGCAGAACTGGCTGGGATGGGGGGACAACGTGTTAACAGGTAGTTAGATAAGGAATTGAGTGTTATCAATGTCGCAGCATTATGGAAGAGGCAGGTGCAACTATCTAGGAGTGCAGTTGGAACTAAGTGCTTGGGCTTTTCGGACCTAAAATCTATACAGAAGAACGGGTGTTGAGAAAAGCAGATAAAGTCGCTGACATTACGAGACTAGCCATTCCGTGATGAGCAGTGACTACGTACAACCTTGCTTCAAACACACCAGACGGTTGTGATGTTTACCAAATTCTGTGCAACGTGTACGGTGTACTTATTCAGTCGCTGCGTACCGACTCGCATGTTTATCGCCTATGAATAGAGGCTGAATCTGTCCGCATTATGTAAGGTGCCAGTCAATTTACATACCACCCCTGCAACTGTGTACAGACCAGTGAATGCAAACTACCGCGAACCGCTGATCCGTTTCGCATTTAGTGTAGCGCCGGCTCACAAGGGTTACTGCGGCTACCTTAACTGTACCTTAACTTCTTCTAGCCAAAACTTAGAAAAGGAAATTATAGACAAAAGCTCAATCTCCCTACTATTATTACTGCTATTTTTTACCGATCGAAAACATTACGCATGCTAGTTACGTCAGCTTAGTTAAGCGATTTTGTCATCGCTGTTAATCTGATGTAAGTCAAGGTAGCCGCGGTGACCCGTGGGAGCGGGCACTACACAAAATGTGAAACGGTTCAGTGACTAGCAGTATTTTACATCTACAGATAAATACACAACTGTAAGAAGTGGTACATAACTTGCCTGGAACCTTGCATAGTGGGAATAGATTCAACCCCTACTCAAGGTCGATTGCCACGCGAGTCGGTACGCAGCAATTACATAAGAACACCGCAGCACATATAGCACGCGAGTACATTAAGAGAATGTCGGCTGAAATGCACCAACGGATGATCAGAACGCAAAATCCGAGCATCATTAAAGTTACAGCCAGGTGCTCATCGATCTCTGTGAAGAGTAGCCTAACTAAGATTTGCACACCAACATAACTTAAGTGTCCATCATCATCATCATCATCATCATCATCATCATCATCATCATCATCATCATCATCATCATCATCATCATCATCATCATCATCATCATCATCATCATCATCATCATCATCATCATCATCATCATCATCATCATCATCATCATCATCATCATCATCATCATCATCATCATCATCATGCTCATCCTCATCATCCTCATCATCATCATCATCATCATCATCATCATCATCATCATCATGCTCATCATCATCATCATCATCATCATCATCATCATCATCATCAGCATCATCATCATCATCATCATCATCATCATCATCATCATCATCATCATCATCCATCATCATCATCATCATCATCATCATCATCATCATCATCATCATCATCATCATCATCATCATCATCATCATCATCATCATCATCATCATCATCATCATCATCATCATCATCATCATCATCATCATCATCATCATCATCATCATTACACGTTAGCCGAGCTTGGGCACTACACTTCAGCTTAGGTGCCGCAATCTAAAATAGATTAGAGCTTAAGTAAAGGATTGCAGATTCATCTGGTCCACTTTTCTTGGTTCAGATCATTCACTTGTCTATGCGAACATCTGCATAAGTTTCAGAGGGTCTTTGAAATAGAAGCATTGTAAAATACAAGTGAACTAGCTACTCTATCAGTTTCGAAGAGCTATCAATCTTCCCTGACCTGCACACTGAGCTGCGACCCACCGCAAGGTATTGTGGAACACTGGATGTTTATGAAAAGGACCATGATCTCTTCCGGCCAGTCAATCAGTGGTCTTAGTAAATAACTTATGAAGATACGGATCTTCACCTGCTGTTTGGATCCATTTGAGCGCCGTAGATATATCCCAGCGGAATCTAATCATAATGAAATGTGCCGCTCTGACACTCGGAAGCTCAACCAAAGTCTACACAGTGACCGTGAAGCCTGGTGGTCCCTGCGTGCTTCGGAAATTGAGAACGCCACCCTCTCTAACAATTCTCGCAATCTGTTCCAGCTCATTCAGTACACTGACCACAGAAAGTCTAGTGTCAGTGTGACTGTTTGCGAAGCGGTTAGTTCGCCGATTACCAACATACAGTGGGCCTTGTCTCGAAGGAGCCGAGCATTTTCATTCGCAATTCAGTTGGCCCTCACCATCCAGTTTTATACCCTGCGAAACCGGATGCCTGCTCTCGGTCGTCATACTGGATCCACCCACCGAAGGGACGTTTGTCTTTCGATTCGACAATTGAAACGATTCAAAGCTACCCTGCTCAGATGGACTTCCTCCGGAGCCGTTCAAGTATGGTAGCACAGTTATCATTAGCTAGCTATCCTCATTGATCTCCAAAACCTGGCATAAGGAAAAGGTCCTTTCTTCTTGGGACGATTCAGTTATCGTGCCGATTGCTAAGAAGAGTGTTCGCACTTCGTGGACCCATCACCGGATTAGTCTCAGTTCGGTTGCCCCCAAGTTATTGACATCCATCCTACCTTCTTAGACTTTCACGCATTCGCGAATCTCAGTACCGGGATGAACCAGTTGGCTACCGACCTGGCCGCGGGTGTAAGGATTAAATATTTACACTCCACAAAGTCCTCGAACACCGCCCCCTACAGCAGAGGCCTACCATCCTTGCACTTCTAGACCTTCGTGCTGCATTCGACTCGGTTGATCGACCTGCGCTATGACTTTGTTTGCTAAAGAAGGGGGTTCCAGAAAAGTACACTGCCATGCTACGCGCACTCTACCAGCATACCTCCGAAGGTGTGAGGGTCTATGAGAGGTTTTCATCGTCCGTCGCTGTTAATAACGATGTACGACAGAGCTGCCAGATGTCCCGATTCCTCTCCACTTCTGTGACTGAAGACGTCCTTTTGAGAGTTCTAGATACTTACCAGAATTTGGGTCTACAGTTATTACCGGGCAAGCTAGCGACTGTTAGATTAGGTCTATGGTATCGTCTTACTTTGTGACGACTCACAGAGTATGCAAAGCGAACTAGGTTGTTTGGTGATTGCGACAGCTAAATACGGGATGTGCTTTACCCCTTCAAACTGTAAAGTGTTGCTTTAGGATTGGCACTCGCTCGTTCCCGTGTTTACTATTGAAGCTACACAGATCTAAGAACTGGATAGCTTTGTCTGCCTGGGCAGCTGTGTATCTGCTAGTGATACCATTGCAAAGGAAGTTTCGCTTCACTTCGCCAAAGCTTGGTCGGTGCTTGTCAACGTGAAACACTTGTGGCGTTATGGGAATGTTTCCCCGCTTGGTAAAGGGTCGTGTTTACAATGCCACTGTTTGGGCGGTGTTGTTAGATGGAAGCAAGTCATTGCCAGTTCACGTAGACGATATGCGCCGGACCTCGACGTTCGACAACAGACGCTTGAGGAGGGTTGCTCGTGTGTGTTGGCAACAACGTAACTGTAACAGTGGAGTCAGATGTCATGTTTTAGAGAATGCGGGTATTCCCTTCAATAAGTTGGTTTTGCAGCGCCAGTCAAAATGGCTCGGTCACCTCCTGCTGCGCTGTTTTCGATTGTGCAGGATTTGGCTGGAAGAGATCATGTGGTGATCGGCCGTCCGTCTGGCGACAGCATTTGAAATAGTTTACTTCACGTTTTCCCACCGTTGGATCCCCTCGGATGCTTGGTTGGGGACCAAAAGGCGGAGAGTGTTGATGGCTCGAAACAATTCAGGATATGGTGCATAATAGAAACCAGTGGAGCATCTGTGTACATAATTGTTTAGGTTTAGATGCTTAATCCTTAACGATCGAAAAAGACAAAAAATGAAAAAATGGCGTGTGCAAAATAACAAGAAATGCACCGCTTTTCCTTTTATTTCGGCACACGAGCTGAGGTGTTACTCACCAACAGATAACCTGGTATCATTCTGGTGCGTTGAGTAAACCTGTCTGCGGTCTTACACCTGTTTTATTCCAGTGATTACCATGGTTTTTGGGCTTTATTTCTATTCAGTGGTCCGCTGCTTAGACTAATACTACCACAAATGATTCGTTTTCTAGATATCGAAGTCAACTTTCTGGAACCCTTATTGGAGGATGTGGAAAGGTGTATTTCGCAACAGAGACGTGCTCGAATCTTACTGAATGGACTCATACGAGAGGTAATAGTAACCGTTCGAATTATCAACTGAATCGCGTTTTGCCTGACAATAGTTCCTATACTCCGTAAAATTACTACCTGATGCAATTCCTCACCTACCGTTGAACGAGCGTGCTGCTTGATATCGCATGAGACCTGTGAGTTACTTGCGATTCAAGCATTGGAAACGAATGCTGGGCCCCTAAACTGTGAGCCGGTTAGCTGAATTTGAAAGCAGTTGTGCACGCAGAACAAAGCGTAGTTGCGAATTTCTTTCGGCCATGGTGATTGTTTTTTAATAAATACCACTGAACGTTCCCGGATAGCACCACACTGTTATTACGTTACCAGACAGATACAGGTTGCCGACCTTCAGTGCTCATTTTTGGTGTTGACAGGCAGATATTGATAGGTGATCAGGCTGTGACAGACCGCATGGGCAATAGACCAACGGTGTGGTGTGAGGTGGATATCGGCGGACTCCCTGACACAATGCGGCCGCCGCCGAACTCAGTAAACTCAGAGTGAAGTTCGCCGTGTTATCGGTAGGCAATTCAAACCATGCCTTCGCAGTGGTCAAGGAGTCTAGTGGACTCAACGCGCCTTGAAGATGGAAGCCTTCGCCCTCACTGGAAACATCCGCAAACTGTTGCAGCTCATTTGGATCACTGGACACCTCACCTGTGAAGTGGGCGTGTCACAAATCACTAGCTTGCAGAGACGCATGGACGGATGGGCTGGGCGCTTTCAGTCTCAGTTCAGTTGTTCCTTCCCATCCACCTTTACAGTCAGTACTCCCAGTCGCATGTCAGCGTTAGTGCCACCCGATTCACCAAGAGAAGCAGAGGTTTGCTTTGTGATACGTCACCTGAACCGCTTCAAGACGGCCGGATCAGCTGAACTTCCTCCAGAGTTTTAAAGTATGGCAAAGCAGCAGTCGTCAAGTAGCTAACGTTCCTGTTTCTGAAGATCTGGAGGGAAGAGAGGCCCCCTCTTCCAGGAGTGACTCAATCATTATTCCAATCCACAAGGAAGATTCTCATACTTCTTGTGCCAATTACAGGAGCATTAGCCTTATAACTGTTGCCTCCAAGCTACTATCATTCATCATGCTTCGCAGGCTATCTCACACTCGTGAGTCCCACTATCGGGAGGAGTAGGCTGGTTTTCGCCCCAGTCGAGGAGGCGTGGATCAACTTTTCACTCTTCGCCAACCCCTGGAGCATCGCCAGCTCTACCGCGGACCATCTATGGACACTGCCCTGGACAATCGCGCTATATTGGACTTGGTAGATTGATCTGTTTTATGAAACTGTCTGCTGAGGAATGGTGTTCCGGAAAAGTAGGCTGCAATACTTCGCATGTTGTACCTCCACACTTCAGGTGAGAGCCTATGGCACGTTTTCCCCACTTCTCCTCGTCAGCAGTTGCTTGCGACAAAGATGCCTAATGTCCCCGTTTATATTCAACTTTGCGATCGATGGTACCTTTTTGAAGCTTTCTAGGGCCTGTAAAACTTCGGCATCGAGCCTTTCCTCGGTAAGCGGGCAACCGAGTTACACTACGCTGATGATATCACCTTGCTCGGTGACGACCCTCATGGGATGAAAGCAATCATTGACCGATTGGTGATTGAAACATCTAAGTATGGTAGATGCTTTGCCTTTCCAAGTTCAAAGTTCTTTTACCCGACTGGTAGGCACCCCTTCTCCAATACACCATCGAAGGCACACATCTCGAACACCTTGATAGGTTTGATTACCTAGGGAGGTACGTTTCTGCCGACGACACTATCGGAATTTAGGTATCCCTTAGTATCGCCAAAGCGCGGTTAGCATTCGCCAAATTAAGATATTTCACTCTGACTAAAAGGCAGGGTATACAAAGCCTGTGTACGAGCGATACTTCTGTACGGATGTGAATTCTGGCTAATCCGTGTGGAAGACATGTGTAGTCTTCCGGCCTTCGACAGTAGCTCTTTGCGAAGTATTGCCCGCGTGCGTTGGCAACACCGAGTACGTAATGATGACGTTAGGCACCGCGGCTTGGGCAAGGTGGATGTTCCGCTTTGTGATGTCATCCGACTACGTCAATTGAGATGGTTTAGCCACGTCCTGCGCATGCCTAACGAGCGTTTATCACGCCTCGTCCTGTTTGGACAAGCATGGTTACTTTTGAAAAGGCCGCGTGAAGGTCCCCGTACGCGTGGCGACAATGCAGAAAACCAATGACATCTTGCCTAGCCGTCGCAGGTCCCGTTCGACTCCCCGGCAGCGGACCCAAAGATGAAGAATGCCAATGGCTCACAACGTTGGAAGCAATGGCGCAAAACCGGTCGAAATGAAAGCAATGTGCACAAATCTGCCTAGACTCACGTTTACCTAAACTGCACTGAATTCGATAGAACAGTTACCGGTTGCGGACGAACGGGTCAAGCTGGAAATGATGCACGCTATAAGCACGAAATTTGTGACCCAAACACGCGACGTTATCACTCCGACGAACAAAAGAAGAACAAGATCAGCACAGTACGTTTATCAGGTCACCAAATTGCGCCACAAGTTCGGCCAAGAATGTACATAAACTACTGAGGTAATCAGTCAAACTGAGCGAAAAGAATATACAAAAGGCTAAATGAACGGGCTCCTACAAATGTATGTTTAAATCGTTCAGTTTGGTTTCGATTTTGTTACCAAACTAATTTGTAAAATTCTCAAAGAAAGCACAAGATGGCATGTGTAAAACAATAATAATATTGTTGTTCCGTTTTTTCATTCATCCATCAAATGCTTTTGCATGTCTTGTACAATTTATTATTTTAAATTCCAAATCCCATGGTTATGAATGGCTTGATGTTTATTGTGTCGAATGTTTGCGATATATATATATATATATATATATATATATATATATATATAGTTGGGGCTTGCAAACGGCTTATATGTACGCAAAGATCCAGAAGGTGTAACATTTGCCTCTGATGCACCGTATTTTCACAATGAACTGTTAGCAGTCACTCGCTGACAGACACGTACGTCCCACACTACTTTTCCACGCATGTTTTTCCTCTCTACATCCTCCCAACATAGTCATTATGTGCTCATTCGCATCGGATTTACTGGAGCCATTCACTGAACTATTATATGTGGAAATAGCTTTCAGGATTCACGATTCCAGTGCCACCGGTTATGTTTAACGGTACTCGTTTTTAAATGCACGCACACTACTTTATCGCTTTCGAGTCTACTCCTCAGTTGTGCAACGTTGGTCGACGCAGAAATCTCGACGCGCTCTAACGATCCCAAGCTTATTACAGTGCACTTTTACTCAGGAAGGTTGTGGAAGAATTTGTACTCTCTTATTCTGTATATCTCGTTTGCATTCCTCTTCAGGAACAGACCCCTATTACGTCAGTGCCCATATGCATCGACCCCGCCGGCTAACAAAGCGTGCGTGTGTACCTGCCCAGCAAGTGCGCACCAATTCGACACGTGATTCCTACCATCATCAACGGGTGTAGAGAAATGTGAAGGTTGATTGAGTTTACGGCGTGCGTGAGACCACAAATGTGCACGACATCAGTGAAGCTAGTCCATCTAAGGGGTAAATGTGACCTTTGTGCTAGAGCTGTCAAGACGAGGCTAACGTGTTTTAACGGCTCTAAAACATGTTACCGTAAATATATAGGGATAGGTCCGCTTGAAACTAGGCTATACAGCATTAAAACTGGGGCGTTTGGGTTCGGTTAGTGTGTTAATCATCCCTCTGTCAGTTGTTTAATCGCACAATTCAACCAGACCAGTTGACCACGCACATGTTCATCAGCTGAATCGCAGCAGTACTACCAAAGGAGGCATGTAATCTCCATCGTGAACGGTTGTATATTGTTCTCGGCATTTGTCATCTCAAGGAAATACAGACTCGTACTTAGGTAGCGTTAACGAAGAAGGCTCTCTTTGCAGCAGCCCGGCACAGCCGACGATGACGCAAGCAGAAGCTTATTGGTCAACCAGGGAGAGTGGGCTAATGACGCTTCATCTTGAAGGCTGCCAATGAGGATACTCCGCCATGAAGCCTGTCAGTGAGCGCTACTCCATTCCTTTATTGCTTGCTTTATTGCTTGAGCGATCCCAGTCACGTATGCCGCCACCTCTTGAAGCTCAGCCCAAACACTAACCTTCGCGGTAACAGTTTAAAGCTGAGCCAACAGTACAGTCGTCTAGACTGTCGGAGAACCTATTTCTCCCTCCGGGTCTGCGGGCCCTGGAACGCCCTTCCAAACTCAGTTGTTTGTGCCCCCACATTAGATACGTTTAAAAAACGATTGGACGTCGCACTGAGCGCCCTGCGCTTTGTTTTATGAACGAAAACGCTTGTATATATTTAGGCTGACCAGCCTCTTTGGATTTATACCCCAAATTCACGGTCGTAAATCTGTGCGAACCGGTGAGTACTCCATTTTGATTTGCTACCATCACCAACGATAACAATTTCTTAGCCAGTTTTGCGTCGTACCACTTTATCCCCCTAAAACTGTTATACTTCTACCTTTTATCTCACTGACGCTCCTTACTTCAGCCACTTATGTGGTTTGCCAATTTGTCAGTATTTCTATTGCCAACCTGCGGGACTCGTTAAGTGTATGCTTTTTTACCCGTCATATACCACTGTTCCATTGTTCCATTGCTGCTTCGATCCACATATTTGACTTGCTTACACTGCTTTCGGAGTGCTCAATACAGTTTTCGTCTCTAAGCTGAAACGTCGGCCGGTCAGCTTGCGCGGTAGCAGTAGTTTATCCTTACAGTCAGCGGAAACTACAACAGGCAGTTCCATGCAGGACATCCTGGGGTCAAGCGGATGAAATCGCTTGCCCGATGCTTTGTGTACTGACCATTAATGGACAGACAACTGGAATAAACGGTTAAACGTGGCCACAACTACTCTGCTATTTCAAGAGCCCAAGTAAAGACGGAACTCCATTCATGGCCGAAACCAACGAGGCGATGGTGTTGTGTCCAC